CTCTAGGAGTGCATACATTTCTCCCAGATATCTAATTTGCTGGCATATAGTTGCTCATAATATGTTCTTATACTTGTTTGTATTTCTTTTTTGTTGGTTGTGATCTCTCCTCTTTCATTCATGATTTTATTTATTTGGGTCATTTCTCTTTTCTTTTTGATAAATCTGGCCAGGGGTGTATCAGTCTTATTAATTCTTTCAAAGAACTGACTCCTAGTTTTGTTGATCTGTTCTACTGTTTTCATTTCTATTTCATTGATTTATGCTCTGATCTTTATTATTTCTCTTCTCTTGGTGGGTTTAGGCTTTATTTGCTGTTCTTTCTCCAGCTCCTTTAGGTGTAGGGTTAAGTTGTGTATTTGAGACCTTTCTTGTTTCTTGAGAAAGGCTTGTATTGCTATATACTTTCCTCTTAGGACGGCCTTTGCTGCATTCCAAAGATTTTGAACAGTTGTGTTTTCATTTTCATTGGTTTCTGTGAATTTTTTTAATTCTTCTTTAATTTCCTGGTTGACCCATTCATTCTTTAGTAGGACGCTCTTTAACCTCCATGTATTTGAGTTCTTTCCGACTTTCCTCTTATGATTCAGTTCTAGTTTCAAAGCATTGTGGTCTGAAAATATGCATGGAATGATCCCAGTCTTTTGGTACCAGTTGAGACCTGATTTGTGACCTAGGATGTGATCTATTCTGGAGAATGTTCCATGTGCAGTAGAGAAGTTTGGGATGGAATGTTCTGAATGTATCTTTGAAGTCTTATCTGGTCCAGTGTGTCATTTAAAGCCTTTATTTCCTTGTTGATCTTTTGCTTAGATGATCTGTCCATTTCAGTGAGGGGATATAAAAGTCCCCTACTGTTATTGTATTCTTGTCAATGTGTTTCTTTGATTTTGTACTAATTGCCTCAAATAATTGGCTGTTCCCATGTTAGGGGCATAGATATTTACAATTGTTAGATCTTCTTGTTGGATAGACCCTTTAAATATGATGTAGTGTCCTTCCGCATTTCTTATTATATTCTTTGGTTTAAAATCTAATTTGTCTGATATAAGGATTGCCACCCCAGCTTTCTTTTGATGTCCATTAGCATGGTAAATGGTTTTCCACCCCCTCATTTTAAATCTGGAGGTCTCTTTGGGTCTAAAATGAGTCTCTTGCAGACAGCATATCGATGAGTCTTGTTTTTTAATTCAATCTGATACCCTGTGTCTTTATTCATTTATTTATTTTTAAGATTTTATTTATTCATTTGAGAGAGAGGATACAGAGAGAGACCAAGCAGGGGGAGAGGCAGAGGCAGAGAGAGAGGGAGAAGCAGGCTCCCTGCTGAGCCAGGAGCCCAATGTGGGGCTTGATCCCAGGACCCTAAGATCATGACCTGAGCCAAAGGCAGACGTTTAACCATCTGAGCCACCCAGGAGCCCCTGATACCCTGTGTCTTTTGATTGGGGCATTTAGCCCATTTACATTCAGGGTAACTATTGAAAGATATGAATTTAGTGCCATCGTATTGCCTGTAAGGTGACTGTTACTGTATATTGTCTGTGTTCCTTTCTGATCTATGCTGCTTTTAGGCTCTCTCTTTGCTTAGAGGACCCCTTTCAATGTTTCTTGTAGGGCTGCTTTGTGTTTGTAAATTCCTTTACTTTTTGTTTGTCCTGGAAGCTTTTTATCTCTCCGTCTATTTTCAATGACAGCCTAGCTGGATATAGTATTTTTGGCTGCATATTTTTCTCATTTAGTGCTCTGAAGATATCATGCCAGTCCTTTCTGGCCTGCCAGGTCTCTGTGGATAGGTCTGTTGCCAATCTAATGTTTCTACCATTGTAGGTTACATATCTCTTCTCCCGAGCTGCTTTCAGCTCTTTGTCTCTGAGACTTATAAGTTTTACTATTAGATGTTGGGGTGTTGACCTATTTTTATTGATTTTGGGGGGGTTCTCTGTGCCTCCTGGATTTTGATGCCTGTTTCCTTCCCCAAATTGGGGAAGTTCTGTGCTATAGTTTGCTCCAATATACCCTCTGCCCCTCTCTCTCTTTCTTCTTCTTCTGGGATCCCAATTATTCTAATATTGTTTCATCTTTTGGTATCACTTATCTCTCGAATTCTGCCCTCATGATCCAGTAGTTGTTTCTCTTTTTATCATAGTTTCCTTATTTTTCATCATTTGGTCTTCTGTAGCACTAATTCTCTCTTCTGCCTCATTTTTCTTAGCAGTTAGAGCCTCCATTTTTGATTGCACCTCATTAGTAGCGTTTTTTATTTCAACTTTGTTAGATTTTAGTTCTTATATTTCTCCAGAAAGGGTTTCTCTAATATCTTCCATGCTTTTTTTCAAGCCCAGCTAGTATCTTTAAAATCGTCATTCTGAACTCTAGTTCTGACATCTTATTGATGTCTGTATTGATTAGGTCCTTGGCAGTTGGTACTTCCTCTTGTTCCTTTTTTTGAGGTGATGTTTTCCATCTTGTCATTTTGTCCAGAGGAGAATAGATGAACACGAGAACAAAATGCTAACAGGATAACAATGACCCCAGAAAAATATACACTAAACAAATCAGAAGAGACCTGCCACAAAGTGACTGCTTTTCTGTTCAGATAGTTGCTGCTCTTCTTTTCTTTGATTTCCTGTTGAGTTCGTAGGTGTTCAGAATGGTTTGATCCCTATCTAGCTAAATTCCTGGGACCAGACAAAATTTAGTTCTCCTACTCCTCCACCATCTTGCTCCTCCCCTAAAGCATTAACTTTGAATGTCTAAAGAATCATGGTAAAAATGCCATGAATTCTCTTGGCTGCATTCCCCTAGCACTGGGATTTTGCTTTTCTTATTGATCAGGAAACTTGTTCTTGGCTGGATGTTCTTGCTGATCTTCTGGGGAGGGGCCTGTTGCTGTGGTTCTCAAATGTCTTTGCCTGAGGTGGAATTGCCCAGCCCTTGCCAGGGGCCAAGCTAAGTAATCTGCTCGGGTTTGTTCTTGGTAGCTTTTGTTCTCTGAAAGCTTTCCATACAGCTTTGGAGGATGAGAGTGAATATGGCCTCCCATTTTCTGGCCCCAGAGGAGCCGAGAGCTCAGGGCCCCACTCCTCTGTGTGCCCTCAGAGAAAAGCAGTCAGTCACTGTCTCCCTGGTCTCTTGCTGCACTCCGTGCTCACCCAGCCTGTGACCTAGCGTTTCTATATCTGGCACTCTCGGTTTGGAGTCTCCAAACCTGGCAGATTCCTGCGGTGCGCTCCGGTGCCACTCCCCCTGGGGCAGGAACGGGAGTCTTCCCGGATCTGCCACTTGTTGGGTCCCTGCTGGAAGAGTAGTGGCCTGACTGGGCCGCGGATCATGGTTTATCGCAACCCCAGCTGAGAGCCCACTCCTTGGCTCTGTCTCTGCACCTGGCTTCCCTGTTCGATATCTGGGACCTCTGCTGCACTCAGGCACCCCTGCTCTTTCTGTGACCCCGAGGGTCCTGAGACCACACAGTCCCAGCGTGGGTTCCAAGCCCCGCTTAACCACTGGAGCGACATCCCTCAGCGGAGCAGACTTCTAAAAATTGCAGTTTAGTGCTCTGCTGCTCTATCACTTGCCAGTAGCTGGCTGACAGAGGCTCCTCCCACCCCATCTATCTTCCCACATATCGCCTCAGATTCACTTCTCCACACGTTCTACCTTCCAGAAAGTGGTCGCTTTTCTGTTCATCAAATTGCTGCTATTCTTTTCTTTGCTCTCCTGTTGAGTTTGTAGGTGTTCTGAATGGTTGATAACTATCTAGCTGAATTCTTGTGGCCAGAGAAAATTTAGGTCTCCTACTCCTCCGCCATCTTGCTCCAATTAAATTTTTTAAGAAAATGACTCGGATCTTTGGGGGTATTTACGGAATTAAGTAGAAAAATCCTTGAATGCTGAAAAACTCAAACTGGAAGTTACTGTTCTGACCTGAAAATTGGGAAACTGAGCTGAGGGCAAGTCAAGCCTGTCTTGACCAATGATAAGCTGTATTTCTGCAGTTTTGCACCAAGGAGCTCAATTATGAGCTTCCAGGCTCTCACAGTTCACTAAGCGTAGTTACTGTTCACTTTACACAACCTTCTTTTGGGTTTACTTTCCTAGGCTGACCAAACTGCAGAGCTTGTCCCTGGCGTTAGCTGCTTCTGTTGAAATGTCAGCACTATGGTCTTGGGCAGGTGACTTAACCCTTTGTGCAAATATTTCCTCAGTAATCAGGGTTCATTAATGTACCTATATGATAGAGTTGAGAAATCAGTGAATCAATCTGATATATTTAAAGGTTGGTACTCGGGTTGGCATATATTAGATCCTGAGTTACTGTCACTGTCATCATCACATTGTCATGTTTGTCGTCATTGTCATCATGACAGTGTTTTTCACACTAATACTTACTGTCCTATCATTCCTCCTAGATAAGCATCCTCTTCTCACTTTTCTTCACATTCTTTATTCCCTCCTGTAAACAATCTGAACCATATTTTAGGTTAAAATCTTGTTCATACTTGGCCTCTTCTCCCCACTCTTACCCAATTTGTAGGATATTCTCTTTATTCTGTCTCATGTAGGTGAGATTTAAAATTTTTGGCCATTAATTCCACTCCCCCGCAAGGTATATTTGAAGCTGTTTGTAATCATGTTTATTCTTTGGAAGAAATTCAGTTTTTGGTAGTGGATGCCACATTTTCAGTTTATTTTTTCTGTTCTATTCTGAAATCTATTAACAAGGGACCTAATTTAATATCTATTATTTCAAATTCAGTCTTTGCTGCTGTAGCACATGACAAAACATGAGAATGTATGTTTTATATTCTTTTATCTACTGGGTATTCATTTATTTGTTGATTTTATCTGTATATGATAATTAAGGGTTTTTATTAGTATATATAAAAGAAGAGTTTTCTAAGATATTTAAAAGTTGTTTTATTGAAACAGCTATAAAAGTGAGTGGGAAATTTGAAGATATTTTTCTGACTTCATTTTCTGCCAATTTTATTTTATAGGAATCAAGAATCCAGTCTCCGTTGCAAACAGACTCTTGTGTGAAGGGCAGAAGGGCAAGCTCTCGGCTGGCCGAATTCCTCCCTGGTAACTGCTTTGTTCTGCCTGACTTTCCCTGGGTCTTTGGTCTTTGGTCTTTGGTGCATGTGGTGTTTGAAGGCTATTTTTATCCACAGAAGGCTGATGTTGTTGGTTACACACCAGCAGTAGCTTGCCTTTGAAAGGAAGACACACTTTGTTCTATAATCTTGGAACATTTTGTACACTTGATAACGCTTCAGATGCAATAGAATATTACAGATTAAAGCAGAAAAGAGATCAGAGTTAATTTTTGGTTTTGTAGTTGATTACAGAGATGTTTTTGCTGTTCCTAAGGGCACAGTTGGGGTCTTTTATTATGAAACTTTAAAAGTCCAGAATCCAAACTAATTTTAATTTTGAGATGATCTTAGAATAAAAGTACTTAATTTTTCTCTTCTGGAGAATCACATGTGATGTTAAGGTTAGTAAGATTACATTTTTCTCCATCATTAACATACAATTGTCATTAAAAAAAACTCTGAACTTTTCAAGTATTTGTAAATGTAGAGAGAACATTGTAAAGAGCCCTCATGAACCTGTCATCCAGCTCCAGTAACTAACATGTTTTTGCCCTTAATCTATACTCAGTCTTTTTCCTATAGTATTTTTTTAATTAAAAAAATTTTTTTAGAGTTTATTTTATTCATTTATCGATTTTAAGCAATCTCCACACCCAACTTGGGGCTCGAACTCATGACCTGGAGATCAAGATTCCCATGCTCCTCCGACTGAGCCAGCCAGGCACCCCTTTCCTATACTATTTTAAAGGAAATCTTTGATATGATATTTTTTACCCTTAAATAATTTTGTGAATTGCTCTATATTTACAAAACATAATCATCATTCCATTAGCATACCTAATAATAATAACAAATATGCTTCAGTGCCACTACACTTTATGTTCAGCATGCCCAGCTCTGAAGTTTATATTAATGTTCTGTGTTGAAAGTTGTGACAACAGTACTATATCACTTTGTTGTAATTTGAAGTCGTAGAAAATAAATTAGTATAGTTTTGAAAAGTCTTGAAACCTCTTACCCAAATATACTCAAGTAGTCATTTTAATCATATACTTGTCAGGTGTTTAATTGTGATACTAGAAAGGTCAATTTTAAAAATTTTTGAAGAACTACAGTTTTTAGTGTTTGTGTCTTCAATAAGGAAGGATAAGGAGAAGCAAATGGGAAATTTTGAGATTGTTTATAATACATGTTTGGTTGATATCAGTAAGTTTACTTTTATAACTCTGAAATTAGGAAAAGTGATTAAAGAATTTGAAACCTTTTTTTTTTTTTAAGATTTTATTTATTTATTTGAGAGAGAGACAGAAATAGTGACAGCATGAGTGGGGAGGAGAGGGAGAAGGACCCTGGGATCATGACCTGAGCCAAAGGCAGATGCTTAACTGACTGAGCCACCCAGGCGCCCCTGGACTGAACCCTTTCTAATGGGATCCTTATCCTTCCCGTTGTCCCACACCCTTACCCTGACTCTGTCTCTGCCCCTGCTCCTAGGTAGCAGTTGTCTTGATTTTAAGCTTCTCTTATTCCCATATATTCCTTCATAGTATTACAACATAGACAGTACTCTAGTTTTTTAATGCTGCATATAGTATATATGTACATAGATGTACAAAGAAGGCCTGGAAAGAAGGTTATCAAACTCACTGTGGTTAACCTCTGTGAAGAAGGAAGGAGGGACCAAGATGAAGCAGTTTTCAAAGGGGACATGTGCAATATTTTTGTATTTTACAAAGATAAAATATATGGGAAAAAGTGATGGCCATCTCTCCATTAAAATGATAGCATATTGTGATGCTACACTTGTCTGCAACTAGCTGTCTCATCTTCTTATGTAAATAGTTCTTCAGCTTTATTCTTTGTTTTCAGAATTGTTTTGACCATTTTAGGCATTTTGCGTTTCCATATGAATTTTAGAATTAGCCTATTTCTAGAAATAGCCTGCTAGAATTTTGATTAAGATTGCATCATATCCATTTATTAAAGTCTCATTTAACCTCTCTGACCAGTGTTTTATAGTTTTCAGTGTACAGGTCTTACACAGTTTTTATCAAATTTATACTTATTTCATTCTCTCTTCTTTTAAAAAAGATTTTATTTATTTGAGTGAGAGAGACAGAGAGCACATGAGTGGGGGGAGGGACAGAAGAAGAGGGAGGGAGAGAGGGGCACAGGAACAGGGAGAGGGATAAGCTGACTCCCTGCTGAGCTTGGAGCCTGATGTGGGGTTTGATCTCAGGACCCTGAGATCACAACCTGAGCCAAAACCAAGAGTCAACCGCTTAACTGACTGCGCCACCCAGGTGCCCCAAGTATTTCATTCTTTTTGGTAGTATGATAAATTACATATATAATATGTGTTAATTTCCAATTGTTCCTTGCCAATATAGAAATATGATTGATTTTATTACATTGAAATTCTTTCTTGGGAATTTGCTAAATTCTTTTGTTTTATATTTTCTACATAGACAGTAATGTGTTCTGAAAATAAAGACTGTTTTATTTCTTCCTCTCTAATCTGGGTTCCTTTCATTAATTTCCTTTTCTTTATTACAGTGGCTAGGATCTTCAATGCAATGTGGAATAGAAATGTGAGAGTGAAAAAAAAATGTGAGAGTGGGCATTCGTGCCTTGTTTGTGATCTTAGGGTGGAAGCATTTGGTCTTTTACCCTTAAGTATGATAGTTGCTGTAGGTTTATCATAGATATTCTTCATTATACTGAGAAAGTCCCCTTCTTAGAGTTCTGAGAGTTTTTAATAGGAATGAGTGTTGTTCTTTCTCAAATGCTTTTCTGCATCTGTTAAGATGATTTTATAATTTTTCTTATTTAGTCAATTAGTGATTAGTTGATTTTCAACTGTTAAAGCAACAGTTGCATTCCTGGGATAAATTCCACTTGGTCATAATGTATTATCCTTTTGATATATTGTCAGATCCAATTTCCTAAGATTTTGTGAAGAATTTTTGTCTGTCATATATTATGAGATATATTGGTCTGTAGTTTTCTTTTTTTTTATTATTATGTTATTCACCATACATTACATCATTAGTTTTTGATGTAGTGTTCCATGATTCATCGTTTGTGCATAACACCCAGTGCTCCATGCAGTACGTGCCCTCTTTACTACCCATCGCCAGGCTAACCCAT